CAGGGCCAGACTCAAGCAAAGAGCACTGCAAGGGGAGCAGGGAAGGGGGGCATTCTGGGAACTGGTGCTTCTGAGTGCTTCCCTCTGTATGTGAATCCACTACAAATGCAGACAAAGCTTCTCTAACTATCTGGTGCCCAGGCTGAAAGACACTTTCCTGGCTTTGCAAAATAAATATACGGAGAATTCTCCTTGGAAGCATGCCAGGTAGACTACTGGCCTTCAACTTCTGGAATGGGCCTTTTATCACATTTCCTCCATATTGTTGAAGAACTTTGTACTGAGCCATATGTCTACTGACGAACTGTTTTGTTCCTAGAGTTTTCATTTTCTCTTTAAATATTCTATTTCCCATTCTTCTGAATTAATTGCTTATTATTACAGCTAGTGAAATGACTGAACCCAAATATGGTATTTATCACAAAATCCGACTCATTAGAGCTGTCTTGTTTGAATAGTGTCTATTACCTTATTGGATTTCCCCACATTGCTCAATAGCCTGACAGTTTTTACCCTGTGAACCAATATATTTTTTTCTGCTTGTCTAATTTCATGCTAGTGTGCTGTGTTAAGTCTCTCGTTCTACACAATGTATTTGATTGCTCTCTTCCTACCTCATAACAGCTCATTACCCAAGAAGCTCTATTAAGCAAGTGTATGACTTAGTATATACTTCTATGAGTAGAAGAAAGATAGAAGAAGGAACCACAAGGAGTGTCTTCTTATACCAGAACCATAAGAAACATCTTCCGAAACTGGAATCTTCTTTGTGTGCATGTATTCAAGGCATCATGATGAGATATATTGAAAGGTAGGCTGGTTCAAGACCTCTCAGAAGCCCTGATGAAAGAGAAAAAGAAAGCTAGTTCTATGAAGAGGAGCAGACTTGGCAAGGCCAGTCTAGAGCTGGAACCAGGACCTTAAAGAGTTAAGATTGAGGATCCTAGGAACTTGGTTTATACCCCTGAAAAATAAACTGGAGAGATCAGTCTAGGGCCATGGTGTGCTTGATATGTGGTGCTTTTGAGGTATTCTGTGATCCCCTCTGCTTGATTAGCTTTCTTCTAATTTTATTCTGTTTCTCCCCTGAAATTAGCATACAAGATGCTGTACTTCTTAATAAGCTTGCTTGGCATAAGACATGGCCTGCACAAGACCTCCTACACCCACCTGTTCTGTCTTCTTTATGTCTGATCCCCTGGACTTTTCCTCCTCAGGATTCTGTCAAGGAACAACCTCCACTGGCTCAGGTCAGAAATGTTCCTTGGTTGATTAGGGAGATGGTCTTGGATTGATTTTTCAAAGATGTTAACTTGATAGATACTCTCACAGTCCCACTTTAGCCCTCTCCTTCTTCCCTCTTATTCCCCTCTTTCTCTGTTATAATTTTTCAGCTAGCTCCTCAAAGACAGAGTTGTGCAAGCATTGATACAATTTCTGACTCTGTCTCTTTAACTGATGGTTAGATCTGTTTGGCTAACATTTCATGCTGTATCTTCACATTGTGGAGACACTGATATTATAATATACACCAGCAGGTCATTGTAATAACTCTGTCTGTAGGAGGCACTGCATTCAGACAGATTCTTGGCAACTGATGACACTATGTGGAATATGGTTTATATTTTCTAGATGGGTGACCCCAACTTACTTATAAACTTCATAGTGTGTGTGCTGGAAAAACATCAGAGACCTGTGGGAAGCAAAATCTTTTTCACCCCTTTTATATAAATGAAATATGACCATAAAGGACTAATTTTTTTAAAAAACCAATAAAAGTAAGCATTTTTATCATTCAATTTTTTTTCCACTCTCACAAATGACAACCCACAATGTGTTGGAACATGGCCTTGTATCTTGGTGGATTAGGTAATTTGAGATAAGACAGATACTTGGTCTTATGATTTCTTTTTCCAGGAAAAATTCCTACCTAGGCTTGCACAGATACATGTGTTAACTTGTCATGTGTGAGACACACCAATAGTAACTGTGGATGAACAGTTGTGTTCCCCACTTTTGAAAAGTATACTGGAGTATGTTTGGGATTCTCCAACTCTATTATCGTTGCCATAACACAGGGTTTCAGCCATTCTCAAAAGAAAAATCTCCTATCAAAAGCTGTCATTACTAAGAGAGCTTCAGAATTCACACACACAACAACAACAAAACATGTAGTATGACCTTTATAGTGTTTCATCAACAGGAAGAAAACTAGTTGATCCCTGTGACTCTCAATCATTTACCACTAACTGCCATAAGCCTGTATCATTTCCACATAATCATCATCACGGTAGCGCTCCACTGATGCAGCGGAGCAAGGTTCCTTCATGTACTAGCCAGTGAGCTCTTGCTATGCTTTAAAAATTGTAATTAGTTTTTGATGGTTCTCCTCTCCCTCTCTGCACTCCCCTCTTGCACTGTTCTACCTTCAGCAGCTGTTTTTCTGCCTTGACTATACATGTGTGTTCTATTGGCCCACCACCATGTCTTCAAGACCTGTTTTTCCTCTCCTGAGATTATCTTTCTAATTTCAAGCCCTGTATCTACACTTTCACAAATACACACACACATACACACACACACACACACACACACACACACACACACACACACACACACACACACAATAGATATTAAAAGCTAAGACCTGCAAATGAAAGAGACCATGCAGTATTTGTCTTCCTGAATCTGGGTTACATTGTATAATATAATAAATTCCAAGTCCAATAATTTCTTTACAAATTTCATAATATCATTTCTATCTACAGGTGAATAACATTCTATTCTGTACAAATAGTACACTTTCCTTTTTATAGATTTATTTATTTTATTTATGTGTGTCTGTGTATCATGTGCATGCCTTATGCCCTCAGAGATCAGAAGAGGGCATCAGATCCCCTAGAATTGGAGTTCCAGGCAGCTGCAGGCATCATATGGTTGCTGGGAACTAAGCCTGGTCCTCTACAAGAGCAGCTACAGATGCCATGAGGACCAGTCTCCAACAGTACCAGACATAAAGGGGATCCACAGAATCAGCATACTAAGACTTTTACTTGAGGGGGTAAGGGAAAACACACACACATACTGTCTTGAAGGTTTCTTTCTTCTGTATTCTGTCTTTATTTTTCCTCTACAGCTTATATACACACCCTAACAAAATATTTCAGGCACTATCAAAATTATAATGTGATTACATTCTATTTTTGAAGTGAATGATTATAGTTAATACATGTAAAAAAACAACATGTTTTCCATATTCCTTGCATGATTAAACATTTTATGTATTACAGGTGAAAAACAAGTTTCCCAAGTACCCACATATATTCATGTCCAAGCAACTTGTTATAGATTAACAGAGTATAAGCAAGCAAGGTATTTTTTTCAGCCAGTTCTTTTACTGGCAGGCTATATTTTGTGGTTACAAAAAAGAACCAATTTTATTATTTATCTCAAAAGGCAATCTTATAAGAAATGATAGAAGAATCACAAATATACTTCTATATATGAAAAAGAATCAGTCAGTTCTATTTTAAATCCTCAGGGTGCATACCCACTAATCAACAGTTTTTTATATCAGGAAACTGAGGGTAGAAATAGGCACAAGGAATTAATCATCGCCTTTGATCAATAACTCATCCTAGCCAGAAAAGTATGTCACCTAATAATAATTGGGCTGCTTTGTTTCTTATCTCTAGCCTTAATGAATCTGTCACTCAGCTGTGTGCCTTTCTAAAGCTTTAGATTGTCTTCTTGGGTTTTTCACTTCACAGCTATTATCAAAACGCCTTAACCTAACCTGAAGTCATTTTAAGACTTTGTTTCAGCTATGATGCACTCTGAAACCTGTGAACACATTTGCCATTATTGGGATTAATAGAATTTAAGTAGCTATGTTACTGGAACTCAATTGTTTTTCTTAATCATTAACCTAAGCCACGGTCCATAGGGCTCCTCAAGAGAAAGTCATGTGTTCTAGCTGTGTGACACTTTCTTGTTTTAGTTTATAGCCTCTGCAACCACTGCTTTATCAGACATTTTATTCTACCTTTATCTATGTTAATTTTTCCACTTAACTAACCTCTATCATAATGCCGTACTATATTTATTTAAAACCCTCAATCATCAAAATCCTATTTAAACTAACAATATTATTGCATAAAATCATTGTTTCAGTTACGTAGTACAACTTAGGAGGAAATCATCTTTATAATAATCTACAGGCAAAAATGCCCAGTAGAATGGGATATTTTCAAGAAATGATCATACTGTATTAAGGGCAGTGGGGATCCCCCAACACCCATTCACACCATGCCAGATACAAGACAAAAATGGCAGTGACAGACATGCAAAGACACAGCAGTAGTAAGAAACATTCTGGTGTTGAGGCTCTTGAGGCCTTGCCTATCTGAGACTCACCCATCCAGGTTTTGTTTTCTGATGGACTGATCCCCTGAAGTCAATTGCCATCTGCTGTTCCTCTGACATGGCCACCAGCAAGGAGCAAATGCTCTTAGCTGATGAGCCACCTCTCCAGGATTGATGTACCACATTTTCAGTATCCATTGATCTATTGATCAGTATCCAGGCTGGTGCAATCTCATTGATATTGTGGTAGATAATGCAGGTATTATTTCACAGAATCATCTTCAAGAATGAGACATACAAAGACAACAATAATGAGATAGATAGATAGATAGATAGATAGATAGATAGATAGATAGATAGATAGATAGATAGATAGAGATAGATGATACATTTTTATCATTTATGGTGAGAAGTTTGGAAACCGGAGGCTACTTAAGGATCTCTATCATTACAGTTTCTTATCTAGTCATCAAAAGTGTGACTGATCTCACTATAAATATACATCAATGTAAAAAAATTCCTTCTAGAAATTTATCAGTGGAGGAAACAGTAAGCAAAACGATGGTGAGATAGTGATGCAATTTGAGATACTAAAAATTAATATACATTTAAATGTTTTCTTCGTGAGTGTACTGATGAGGTTAAATTTGTCTGTTTCAGGTGAAAAGAACATGGTTCCTGAGAACTTGCCAATGGGGATTTTGTTCTTTTCTCAAACTGCTGTTGGGATTCTTGGCAATTGGTCAATTCTTCTTCCTTATATCACATCTGTATTCACTGGGAAAAGTCTGATGCCCAAAGACCAGATTTTAAGGCATTTGACTTTAGCCAATTCCTTGGTTATTATCTCAAGAGTAATTCCTCACATAATGGTACAGCTGGGCTTGGGATATCTCCTGGGTGACCTTTTATGTAAGCTCACTCTCTACAGTAATCGAGTGTCTCGGGCCATTTCCCTGCACTGCACCTGCCTCTTGAGTTGCTTCCAAGCAATCACAATCAGCTCCAGCAGCTCCAGGTGGATGAAACTTAAAAACTCAGTCTCAAAGTGCATGGTTCTGTCCTGCTCACTCAGCTGGCTTGTGCATCCTCTTCTAAACAGCAGAGCAGCTATAAGTGTAATTGGTCCTCATAACAACAATAACGTGACTAAGAAAATCAAGTTGGGGCACTGCTCAGCAATTGTTTTTGTCAATACTGTAACTGGGCTACATCTGTCCTTGCTTTGTTTCACTGATGGTCTGTATTTATGTCTCATGATCTGGGCCAGTGTCTTCATGGTGAGCATCCTCTGTAGGCACAAGAGTCAGTTACAGCACATCCACAGTGCACAACACACCCCCAGAGTCTCACCTGAAGACAGAGCCACAAAAACTATCTTGACCCTTGTCTGTACCTTTGTCCTCTCCTACTCAATGTCCTTCATATTAGTTATCTATACTGTGGCATTTGACAATCCAAGGCTGTGGATAATCAACATATTTACATTCCTAGACACATGCTTCCCCACATTTTGCCCTTTCATCCTCATCCATAATAACAAATCAGCTCCCAAGAATCATTTTCCCTGCTGTAGGAGAAGGTAATTTAACATGGTGACTTGTGTATTATAATAAAATCAAATATTCTCTCATCCTTTATTGAATTTGGCCTCACACATGACCAAGTGTTATTAAAGAAGTCAGTGACTCTGTAAATTAAGCATTGACAGTTGTTACAGATATGTAATGCTGGCTAAACAGTTCCATGATATTAAAATTTCTCTCTGTTTTCATTCCAAAATCTATGAAATTAGGAATCGTCATGTACTGAAGAGTATCTTTGCTTCGAGATATCCAATCAGCTGTTGAGGTATGAATTTCTCTGCAGGCACAGGCTGGTCTCTTGTTCTACTGCTTCAACTGAATGAGAGAACAGAAAGGCAAGGAATAATTCAAGATTTCTGGCATATTGAGAATAGCATATTTGTGTGACCAGCTACACAATATTTGTTCATGTTTTGGTTTCACGGATGTTCTGCATCTGATCTTATGATGTGGGTTTGTGGCTCCACTTCCAGGTTCCTCTATGGGAAGAAGAGTCAAGCAATGCCTATTTGCTATGCCCATTGTTTCCTTGACTTCTGACAGAAACCACACTTCCCAACCCATCCCAATCCTGCTGTGCACCATTGTCACCTCCTATTCAGTTGCTTGTACCCTAGTATTCCCTATGGCAACCAATCACAACCCAAGGCTATGGAGATTAACCTCTACATTTTTACAACATGTCTCCATACTGTCTCATTGTACTCATCAGTGTTCTCCACACTCAATTTTTCCCTGCCATGAGAAAATACATTTTTATCTGTGTCCCAAATTCTGATGATTCTTGTTCATTAATATATTCATATGTTCTTTTATTCTTCCTGCAATTCTTAGCCTCATTGTGGGCCAGAAAGTATTAGGTAATGTAATAGTGAATGTTGATAGTCCACTTGACAGGATCTAGAGTCCCAGGAAACAAACATCTGGAGACATCTTTGAGGGAGTTTCTAAGCTGGGTTAATGGAGGTAGAGGAACCAATCTAATTCTGCACAGCCATCAATCCTCTGATTAGATTCCTGGGCTGAATAAACTAGGGAAAACAAGTTGAGAACTGGCATGCATCTCTCTTTGCTATCTGTCTAAAGATACCATGTGATCAGCTGCCTCAACCTCCTGATTCCATGATTCCTTCCCTCAAACTGCAAGCTAAAATAAACCCCTCCCACCTTAAGTTGTTTTTGTCAGAATAATGAGAAAATTAACTAAGACAAGTAATTCAATAGCATCCTGAATTATAGTAAGAAAAATCATATGGACCATCATAGAGACTACATCATAAATGGAGTAAAGTTCTGGAGACATTTTTTTCTCTTCACATTGCTGTGACATGAGCATTGCAATGCCTGGTGGTGGATGATGGTAAATAATACAATTTGTGGGAGGCTCTCAACTCAGGCTGCTCCTCCAGGGCTTTCAATATTATGTGGCATGGGGTAATCATTTTTCTAACTTAGGTGATAAGACATGCTTAGGATTTCAACATTGCATATTGCCAGAGACCATGTCAGAGGAGCAGCAGGTGGCAAGTTTGCTTTGGGTGTTTGGCCCACCAGGAAGTAAAGCTCTGATGGGTGAATCTCAACTAGGCAAGGCCCCAAGGATCCCAAGCTTCAGCTCTGGGATCCCCGCTGCCTTTAATGTAAAGTGATTATCTCATGGAAATATCCCATTCTACTGGGCATTTTAACCTGTGGATTATTATGAATATGATTTCCTCTTAAGCTGTACTGTTTAATTGAAGTAATGATTTTATACACTAATGGTGTTAGTTTAATTAGAATTTTGATAAGTAAGGGTTTTAACAGATGCAGAAAGGGATTATGATAGAGGTTAGTTTAGTGGGGAAATTAATACAGGTAAAGGTAGGATACTGTGTTGTCCCTGTCCCTAGTAGAGCAGGGGCTACAGAAAATAGGAACAAGGCAGTGTCACACTAATGTGTTTCTCTTGATGGGCCATATAGACTATGACTTAGGTTAATGATTAAGAAAAACAATTGAGTCCCAGAGGCTAGGCTAGCTCAAGTTCTTTAAATCTTAATATTGAGAGATGTGTTCACAGGTGTTGATGTGCATCATAGCTAAAACAAAGCTTTAAATAATGACTCAAGGTTAGGTTGAGATGTTTTTGTTAATGGCTTTGGGATAAAACATCTTAGGAAACAATTTCAAGTTTAGAAAGACACACTTTTAATAGCTGAGCAAGGGATTCATTGAGGTCAGGCAACAAAAACAATGACAGCCTGGCTGTCATTGCCAGGATGGGTAAGTCATCAAAGGTGATGATTAATTCTTTGTATCCATTTCTGCCCTCAGCTTCCTGATATGATTTAATAAAAAAAAAAAACTATTGATGAATGGGTATGCACCCTGAGGTCTTAAAGTCCAAATGACTGATTTTCATACATAAAAGTTTATATTTGTGATCCTTTAAGATTTTTTTGTGTGATTACTTTTTGAGATAGTAATAAAATTATCTATCCTTTCTTTGGAACCACAAAATTCAGCAAGCCAATAAAAGAACTGGCTGAGAAAATACCTTGCTTGTTTTCATTTTGTTAATCTATAACAAGTTGCTTGGACATGAATGCACGTGGGTTCTTGGGGATAATTGGCTTTTCATATGTAATACATAAAATGTTTAATCATGTAAGGAAAATGAGAAACATGTTGCTTTTCATCTCTATTCATTAAAATTATTCACTTGAAAATGAGATTTGTAATCACATTGTAATTTGTTTATTGCTTGAAAGATTTTACTGGAATATATAAGACATAAAAGAAAAGATAGAGAGATGATAGAGAGACCCTAAAGGTGTGTGTGTGTGTGTGTGTGTGTGTGTGTGTGTGTGTGTGTGTGTGTGTTTTCCTTCTTTACTGGATCAGAGAATTAAGTTTTGCCCCCACTCTCTATCCCCAGAGAATTAAGTTTAACTCCCTCAGATAGAAAAGTTAATTGAGGGATCAGTCCACTGACTCCGTGGTTCCCCTCCAATTCCTGAGCTGCTAAAGACTGATCTTACAACAGCAGTATATACATGAGAAATAGGTACATAACCTTGAGAAGACAAAAACCTATTTCTCATCCTCTGAAATAAAGGAAATAAGAAAACAGGACCACAAGAGACACGAGGATCGCCCAATGATGGAGAAATGGCTGAGATCTACATGAACAACCTGGACATGAGTGGGAGTAATGAAGGGCAAGGGTCGAGGGAAAGAGAGCCTGTGGGATCGGGAGATCCCAGCTGGATCAAGAACAGAGAGGGAGAACAAGGAATAGGAGACCATGGTAAATGAAGACCACACGAGAAAAGGAAGAAACAAAGTGCTAAAGAGGGCCACAGAAATCCACAAAGATACCCCCACAAAAGACTGCTGGCAATGGCCGAGAGACAGCCGGGACTGACCTACTCTGGTGATGGGATGGCCAAACACCCTAATAGTTGTGTCAGAAACCCCATCCAAGGACTGAGGAATCTGGATGCAGAGATCCACAGCTAGGCTCCGGGTGGAGCGCCGAGAGTCTAATTAGCGAGAAAGAGGAGGGTTTATATGAGCAAGAATTGTTGAAACCAAGGTTGGATAAAGCACAGGGACAAATAGCCAAATGAATGGAAACACATGAACTATGAACCAAAGGCTGAGGGGCCCCCAACTGGATCAGGCCCTCTGAATAGGTGAGACAGTTGATTGGCTTGATCTGTTTGAGAGGCATCTAAGCAGTGGTACCAGGTCCTGTGCTCATTGCATGAGTTGGCTGTTTGAAACCTGGGACTTATGCAGGGATGCTTGGCTCAATCTGGGAGGAGGGGACTGGACCTGCCTGGACTGAATCTACCAGGTCGATCTCAGTCCTCGGGGGAGGCTTTGCCCTGGAGGAGGTGGGAATGGGGGGTGGGCTGGGGGGAAGGGGAGGGGGGCAGGAGGAGGGAGAACAAGGGAATCCGTGGCTGATATGTAGAACTGAATGATATTGCAAAATAAAATAAAAGGGAAAAAAAGAATTTAAATAAGCACCATTCTCATTGAAATCAATAGTAATAAACAATTTTACCCAATATAAAAAAGAAAGATTTATGCAGATCTCATCTAATCATATTTAAGACTATTGAATTGCTTTTTCCTTTTTCCACTTCTCCTTTTCAATAATTTATATGTTTCTGAGGAAAACTGAACCATGTATTTGTGTCTGAATAGTTGTATTATATTAAAGAATTGGATGGTTATTGAGATTAATAGGTTTCATGATTTCACAGATAGTAGAAATCTATATAAAGTATCATTTAGAGAAGAATTTAGTGGAAATTTGAGAACTGTCCATCATAGTCTTGTAAAACAATAATTCTGCCACTCTCTCAAGCTAAGAGAGAATTGCTGTGAATCTGAGGCCAGGCTGGACACAATGGTAAGTTTAAGGCTAGCCTGGGCTACCATATGAGACCCAAGCAAGTAAAAACATTTTTAAAAAACCCACAACCACCACTGACAACAACAAAATCTTTGAGAACTAATAATCAAAAATTGTACTAGTTCAAAAAAATAGAACTTGGGATTGCCATTGCTCGTGGCTGGCCTCCAGAATGTGACAGAGAAATCAGGCTGTGTTGACCTGGAAGCTTCATTCCTACTGGATAACTTTCACAGTGCAGGGGAGTTCTATCTACACTAACAGAGAAGAAAAGTAATCATTCTGTGTGTGTATTCTCTGCTTTTGACACATTGGTAGTGGAGCTATACAATTTTACACTTATTTTACTTTATTGGCATATGTTATTGTCAGTCCATATCAGTGTTGTAGGATTATTTCACAATTTTGAGTTCTTCAACACTGTGAACAAGCCATTCTTTGATACCTATTTCTTTCAAATGTTTTCATGAAAAATTTTTACCCATTGTATGGATGTCCCACAAAAAAAAAAGTGTTTTTTGGGTTAGCATGCAAAATAGCTGGCTTTGTACATATGTATTATTATGTTTTGTTTTCTTCCTGTTCCTGC